AACTTAAATCAATTTCTATATCCTCCATCCGGGGACCGATGGGGGACTAATTAACATTGTGTCATAAAACAACAATCTCACTGCAAATAAATATTGTAATACACGAATCACACCAAACTTCAGTTATCAATTTTTATGCAAAAAATAGGGTAGGCTTGTGAAAGTGAATTTGGGTTCCTATTTTTCTGATATTCAAAATATCATTTTCTTACGTTCGTAAATTAGGGGTATAGCATGGAGTCCATTCTACAATAAGTCAGTCAAGTGTATTGTGTGTTATCATGAAATATGCTGAGGCAACAGTTAATCACAGTCCCCAACATTTTCCAAGTTTAGGGTCAATTAAGCTTAACCATTGCTTGCTAATTTCACATCATGTGAAATGTACTAGTCTTGCCAGGTAAATTTCAATGGACAGTTACATGCTGTGTTATTACTAATAGTATATTATATACAGAATTTCAAGCCTCTTGTGGTTTAATACTGCTCTGTAAGTTAAGGAAGTATGTTCATGAAACTACACACTGGCGTATTGCATGTATGTGTATTTATACAAGTATTTGATACACAAACATTTATGCCAGTGGTCTTGGAACTTAGAACTGACCAGGGGCGGATCCAGATTTTTGTTGGACAGGTGTTACCATTCCAGTTTATTTTGCTACGCATGTAATCTGAACCATATAGTGTTGCACAAAATTAAGTTAGATATATATAGCTGTCTTGGTTATAGCCACCTTGTACTTTCCCAACTTGCATTTTTTAAAGTAAAATGTCAGAGTGGAATGAATCATGAATAATTACATGTATTCCAATTTTCACCAGAAAAAAACACCCTGTTTATCCATCATGCAAGAAAAAGATTCTCGGATTAAAAACTTTAAATTTAACCCTGTTACTACTACGGACCACTGACCAATTAAATTGATTTTGGGGAAGTGTCAACAGTTCAACACCGAGTTTATAGACATGTTAGAGGGGAGGGGACAGATATTGTGCGGGCAGTGTGATAAACAGTTACAGAATCATTACTCAAGAAATGAAAATATTACTGACTTCAACATCAAGGTGACAGTGCGTCTGCAGAAACGTGGAGTATATATTGGCTTTATACAAGCTTGGGGTGATACATAATATCTTTCTGGAGTTTCATTTATATTGCACACTGTCTATTTCGGAACAAATTAACATGTTATTCACTGATTCAGAGAACGTACCTTGCCACGTAATCTTTACAAAAGCATTCAGTTCACACGTCAAATTACTTGATGATGCAGTCGGCATAGAACCGTAATATGAGTGCCAATCGGCCATCGAAGGGATGAGTGCTCAGGGATTTCAAACCCCCGACAATTCAATAAACTTTTGCCCAAAATATTTCCTCTGTTTAAAACATATGATTACCTGACCACATGCATAATATAATTGTAATATATAATATAAAAGATATATTTTCACAACATAAAACAGTAAACAGAAACACTGCGTTTTTAAATTGAATACATGTGTAACAAGTTTGTAACAAACATATCTTTCAATCCCTGAACACACCCTATCATGTTTCATTAGTACTGAAAAAATATCTTGTGATGTACATGTTTGATAGAAAAAATATCGCACTCCATCTTTTGCCGTTCATTATCTGAAAACAATTCATGGATATTATCAAATATTGTGTGTATTTCCAAAGACGTATATATTACAATATATACGTCTCTGCTAGTACTTCTTTTAATTTTGACTTGTGTTACAAAAGCGGCACAAAATCATCTAAAATCTGACTGATTGGGTTAGTCTAATATTGCATCTGAGGGAGATAAATTAAAGCTTTGTGCTAACTCACAAATATGGTTCGACCCTACAAATAGACCAACTTCATTCAAATCCAGCTGATCAGGTTAGTCCAATGTTTAAGGGAGATAAGGTTTTTCAGAAATACAGGTAAACCAGGGCTGTTTGCTGTTTGACAAGTAGCTAAAGTTATCAAAGCATGGTTAGCTTTACAGTTCTTTTCTTGTGTTAATGTATTGGTCCTGTCGATCTATTCTGTGACTATGCTAAAATGGACAGAATATGTGGGAGAGAGTTTCTTAATACTGCCGGAAAGAAGTCATATTCAAGTGGTAAGTGGTATAATTTCAGGCTTATTTGCAGTGGTAATTTTTGTGATATAAAACAAAACGTTAGTGACTCAAACAGTGTGTACTGTAGTTGGGTTGGAACACTACAGTAAGTAGATCAGAGAAAACCAACCACTTGGGGAAGAGTGCGGGAAGCACAATTTCAGCAAGCAAAGCATCGTCAGAAAATTAACCAGAATATTTTTTATTAATTGTATACTCACAAAATACATGCATTGTTGTATTTTTCATATACATATGGCTATAGTTAAGAAAGTATCGAAGTGAATGCTTTCTCTGCCTATAAGTTGGCGAACCACAAAATGGCGTCACTACGGTATGAATGAAAATGCTAGGGGTCGCTGCCAAAAACATTTGCATATGAATGAAATGTGAATGATTGACATCCATATAAGGAGATATGAGCTACCATATAAGGACAGAAAGACTATATATAGTCGTAGGTGGTGTATGTAGATAGTGCAGTTCCTCGTTAAGCAAATTTCATATTATGTGCAATCCCCTAGACACTTGCGTCACCGCGATCCCCTAGACACTTTCGTTACCTAACGCATGTGTCAAAAATCTATTTTCAGTAATGGTGACCGTATTCTTGAACCAATAAGAACAATACTCAAACTCTATAAAGGCATGTCTGAGGCGAGCATTTGTGGAGCTTCATGAAAATCTAATTCTGTCATGCAGTACAGCAGTTTATCTATGGAGTAATCACCGACAGACTGTTACAGATAGACAGAACGAGAACATAACACCCACTGCTTTGCTTAGCAGGGGTTATAATTGACTAAAAGTAAAAGCTCTGTATCATATTTCACAAGTGCAAACAATATCTACGATATGTTTCAGATGTTTGCAGTATTGCCTACAGCAAAAAAAAAAAGAAGGAATGATTCTGCGACATGCCATCCACAACACACTGGAGCAGTCAATGTGATGAAGATTTCGTAACTTGTTTTTTCTACATGTATTTCTGTGAAAATTGAAAAGGTAAATTACCTGTCACTCCAACATGCTTACATCACAGCACACTTCCTTGACAAGTGTCATCTGCTTTTAACAACAAACGTAACTGGTAGCGCCTTGTTTGGGTGGTTTGTAGTTCTACCTGCTGATATTTCTCTTCACAAGTAAAGTGTTCTGCACTGAACAAACCATGCTCAGTTTCAAGTAAACAGCAAACAGTTTAGCAAGACAATAGCATCTAATTATGACCCAAGGTTAGCAACCAATACTAACATACTTACAGGTAAACAACAACTCCAAATAACCAAACAGATGCAGTTTAACAACATAGTCCAGGTAACCAGCAAACTCTGGTTAGCAACCAAGTCCAGGTAACCAGCAAACTCCTGATTAGCAACCAGGTCCAGGTAAGCAGCAAACTCCTGATTAGCAACCAACTCCAGGTAACCAGCAAACTCTTGGTTAACAACCAACTCCAGGTAACCAGCTAACTCTTGGTTAACAACCAACTCCAGATAACCAGCTAACTCTTGGTTAACAACCAACTCCAGGTAACCAGCAAACTCCTGATTAGCAACCAACTCCAGGTAACCAGCAAACTCTTGGTTAGCAACCAACTCCAGGTAGCCAGCAAACTCTTGGTTAGCAACCAACTCCAGGTAACCAGCAAACTCCTGATTAGCAACCATCAACATGCTGATGCTCAATCATAGATTTACGCTAATTTGCTTGAACTCGCACTCAAATCATATGGCATAGTCAAATTGTCATGTGTAAACACTGAAAACAGTTATATAACTATAAATCAGCTTAAAGTCTCTCGGAAAATTCTTCCAAATAATTTATTGGTCACCTGCTGAAAAAATTAAGCTTGTGCACAGATTCAAAGTTTGGTCTGTACAAACCAGCCCCAGCTAATTATTAACAGTGAACAGTTTTACTGAACTATCACAGAATACAAAATATCTCTGATATTACTCTATAATGGTCTGTACAAACCAGCCCCAGCTAATTAACAGGGAACAGTTTTACTGATCATGAACTATCACAGAATACAAAATATCTCTGATATTACTCTATAATGGTCTGTACAAACCAGCCCCAGCTAATTAACAGTGAACAGTTTTACTAAACTATCACAGAATACAAAATATCTCTGATATTACTCTATAATATGGTCTGTACAAACCCGCCCCAGCTAACAGTGAACAGTTTTACTGAACTATCACAGAATACAAAATATCTGTGATATTACTCTATAATGGTCTGTACAAACCCGCCCTAGCTAATTAACAGGGAACAGTTTTACTGAACTATCACAGAATACAAAATATCTGTGATATTACTCTATAATGGTCTGTACAAACCAGCCCCAGCTAACAGTGAACAGTTTTACTGAACTATCACAGAATATAAAATATCTCTGATATTACTCTATAATGGTCTGTACAAACCAGCCCCAGCTAATTAACAGGGAACAGTTTTACTGAACTATAACAGAATACAAAATATCTGTGATATTGCTCTATAATGGTCTGTACAAACCAGCCCCAGCTAATTAACAGTGAACAGTTTTACTGACCTATCACTATTACCACACCATGTTCCTTAAAGGTTTACTGCATGGAATAACAACAAAATGTACGTCATTCACAAATAATAATAGATTTGCCGTTTACGTGGGTACAACCTTTGGCGTGCGTGTATTATGAAGGTCCAATCCTCACGACGCTACCTCTCGTCTGCACCAGACCACTTAATTTACTACCCGGAGGTTATTACAGGTCAGTGCTTGGCTTCCATTAACTTTGTTGATTTCTCATCGGCCACCTTAAATTTGCAATCTCGACAAGAGGTTGTGCAATTTGGTTTTTCATAAACAAAGGTTGTTCTTACCTTAAACGGTAGGGACAAGAGTACAGTTGATCTTGATTTTCCACAAGTGCAATTTGTAGGACAAGAAGTTCACGGATTCCGCTTACAATTCCCAACAGGGACCTGCATGGGGGGAAAAGGGAGATAATTAGGTTTAGTGTGTTTGTATTGACACGTAATTAAATAAGACGTGTTTTTTTCTGTTGCTTCTCTGATGGTTAGATAAAGATTTCTGACCAAATTGGCCATAGCTATGGGTTGACTGACCTTATAAAAGAGGAAACCTAACATACACAACACCAAATGGGGTCAAACTAATATGACATTCATAATCAGATAAATTAAGAATTCCTTTTTTGCCCCTGAAAACAAACCTTAAATATTACATAAAAATACAATTAAGAGAGAAAATTTGAAACAAAGATTATTTCTCCACCTAATTATCAGAAAAATTGCACCTAATTTTACATTAAGGCTATAAGAGTTTGGAAGTACACTAGTCTTTCATTAAATACTTCCCAGTATGCTTGTATACATCTGGGTAGACTGGAACATACATAGGAAACACTTCATCTACAACTTAAGGAGCACAAGGATTAAAGTCCAAGTCTATAAGCCTTGAAGGTGAAGTGATCTGTAATCTTAGCAAAAAAATGTCTTAAGCCAAATTTGCTTTGGAATGTAATACTTTTGTCTAGGATTAAAATATTTCCATTAACTGCAGCATGAAGAAGTTTTTTTCTGAATGCAGATTTATTTGTGGAGAAAAAGGGTAAATATATCTGCATGCTGAAAACACAGCAGGTCATGATAGCGTACTAGCATATAAAGGAGTAGTAAGAGTCAGATCAGGGAAATAATAGGACTATTAAGGGCTAATTAAGGCATGTGCATGCATGGTAATGATCGACCTTACCAAACATTAAATCTTGAATGTGAATGTTCAAAACCTGTCTGTAACAAACATTTCTGGGATTTAGGCAACCCTGTCCCACTGCACTAAGAGTTTTTGTATATACAGTAACCTCCCCTTAATTTTGTTTTGGATATAACTTTTATAAGCACAGCTGGCCCAGTACACTTCCGTTGACCTGAGGAAGCTAAGTCAGTTATGAGAGATACTATAACAGTCTGAAGTCCTGGGTTCGAATCCTGCTCTGGCCTGCTACATGTTTACGCTCCGAGAACACTATTGTTGATAATAATTCATTTATTTCAACAGAATCATTTTTTCATAAAAGTGCCAAGAGGTTTGATTTTCTCTACAGAAATAATTTATCAAAGCTGCTGCCACGCTGGAAAATAGTTTCCAATGTTTAGTTACAGCTTTAGCGAGTGGTACGAAGATCCTTAACTTTCATGTTAGAGTAAACTAACAAAATTAAGTACTTTCAATTTCGTAAATGGATTTGTTTACATTGAGACCTACAAGAAGACATTCTTAGGGGCCTTGGAGACATATCAATACACGTTTGTATGAATGCGATGCTGGCAGACACTTGGGAAATTTCACACTAAACAAAACCAAAACAACTGTATAATAAGAATAGCGTTTTACGAGACATCCTTCTGCGAGAAAAGAGACCTGAAGGCTATAAATCAATTTGTGTTTTACTTTTATAGATACCTTAAGAACACCATAAACACTATTCCGAATTTTCAAGGACGAAGAAATCCTAAAGAAATATTTCGACATTCAAAAAGGTGGAATTCAAACATTTGTGTCAGTATATGCAATGAATTCTTTTAAAAACATTTTAGGTTCCTAGTTTAATTAATTCTCATAACATTCCTGGAAAATACCTCTGGTATCTGATACAAACTATTGTCATTGTTGATTTAACATCTGTGCTCTTCAATACACAACAGAATTTATTATCCGATTTTCTTTATATTCCCAACAATAATGTGCTTAATTCTGATGAGCACGGTTTCTGTGGTGAGGGGAATGCTGAGCTCACATATAAACCAATCCCCAGACAGTGCTTAAACCAGCCATTTATGACATCATATCACGGCGGAACTGTATTTTTTATACAGCAATGCGCCCTATGCTATATGTAGCTTAAGTTTAAAGGCAAAATTGATGAAGAAACTAGAGTACTGGAGGGACAGAAGCTTACAGGAGCCATTTCATAACATGTACAGGCTTTGTTCTACTCCAATCATAGCCATTGTCTTAGCAATAACATGTACAGGCTTTGTTCTACTCAAATCATAGCCATTGTCTTAGCAATAACATGTTCAGGCTTTGTTCTACTTCAATCATAGCCATTGTCTTAGCAATAACATGTACAGGCTTTTTTTCTACTCCAATCATAGCTATTGTCTAAGTAATAACATGTACATGCTTTGTTCTACTCCAATCATAGCCATTGTCTTAGCAATAACATGTACAGGCTTTGTTCTACTCCAATCATAGCCATTGTCTTAGCAATAACATGTACAGACGTTGTTCTACTCCAATCATAGCCATTGTCTCAGCAATAACATGTACAGGCTTTGTTCTACTCCAATCATAGCCATTGTCTTAGCAATAACATGTACAGGCTTTTTTTCTACTCCAATCATAGCTATTGTCTTAGCAATAACATGTACAGACGTTGTTCTAATCCAATCATAGCCATTGTCTCAGCAATAACATGTACAGGCTTAGTTCTACTCCAATCATAGCCATTGTCTTAGCAATAACATGTGCAGGCTTTCTTCTACTTCAATCATAGCCATTGTCTTAGGAATAACATGTACAGACGTTGTTCTACTCCAATCATAGCCATTGTCTTAGCAATAACATGTACAGGTTTTGTTCAACTCCAATCATAGCCATTGTCTTAGCAATAACATGTACAGGCTTTGTTTTACTCCAATCATAGCCATTGTCTTAGCAATAACATGTACAGGCTTTATTAGCACTCTGTCCCAGGTACCTATTGACCAAATATCATTACTCTAAGCCGCTTGGTTATTCAGAAGAAGTCGTTTAAAGTTTTTAACAATTTTGAACCCTGTGACCTTGAAAGTAGGTCAAGGTCATGTATTTGAGGAAACTTTACAGCACTCTGTCCCAAGTATCTACTGGCCAAATATCATGGTCCTAGGTCCTCCAGTTCTTAAGTAGAAGTTGTTCAAAAAAAAGTTGATGGACAACGCACAGAAGACGAACAACACACCATATGCATACTATAAGCTTAACTGGCACTTCTTGCCAACTCAGCTAAAAACTTATACCATCAAAACGTTTGACAGGTATTTAAATATCATACAGCATCATCACCTCAGGACGATCGGAGATCAACATGGATTCAGCAAGAACTGTTGTCAGAATGGCACACTTATACCCCCACCTGTGCCAAGAACTGTTGTCAGAATGGCACACTTATACCCCCCACCCGTGCCAAGAACTGTTGTCAGAATGGCACACTTATACCCCCCACCCGTGCCAAGAACTGTTGTCAGAATGGCACACTTATACCCCCCACCTGTGCCAAGAGCTGTTATCAGAATGGCACACTTATACCCCCACCTGTGCCAAGAACTGTTGTCAGAATGGCACACTTATACCCCC